GACCATGTGATCAGTTCTGAGGCACTGTTGAGTCGCACGAATGCCAGATGTGAATATTTTCAAGCAGTTTGTGGGCAGAGCATAAACCAGGCAGCTCTGTTTACGTGGCAAGCAGAAATGTATTCTGATTGGTCTGTGAAGAAACAGAGAAAGGGGCGGGGTGAAAGAACCTGAAGCAGGACAACAAGCTAATGTTTTAAAAGATGGACTCTGTATTAAACAATGCAAACGAGGGTTCAGCACTTCTCATTTCTTATTGAAATAGGCATTATGTTACAGAGAAATGGTATGTGTGTGTGTATAAATTGCTATTTCTCTCAGCATAACAGCAAAATGGAAAGCCCCCCCCCCAACAAATTTAATACAAGGAAGGGTTAACTTGCAACAGAATACTTGACGTGGAATTCCCTGCTGCTACTGCAGAAGTGATACAGCAAAGCTGTGGAGGGTTTCCAGACAATCTGTTTAAAGTGTACCAAATGTTCATTTGTTGCAAGCAATCCTTACATCTTTTGCTTGAAAAATCTTGCTGGAGGGCATAACAAAAATAAAGTGCACAGCATTAGGCCTGGTTCATACATTCCGGAGAATAAGGAGAGAGAACATTTGGGTAATAGAATGGCCTACCCCACTGAACATTCCTTGCCATTTAAAAAAGCCATGCACATGGAAAACAGGTTCTAGCCCCCCTCCCCGCTCTTCTGTCTTCCTTTGCATGGGGAAGGGATTAAAATAGGGGAGCATTTAAACTGTGATCCTTCCACCTGCAGCCTGAAACTGTGCAGTCTGCTGTACCACCTCATTTTCCTTTGTATGTGAATCAGGTCGTAGGCCTGTTGAAAGAAACCATGCGACAGAATAGCACTATTTATAGCACACTAAATTTATAAAGCAATCTGCAGTCTTTAGTCCTTACATACTTGTGCTATAGGCTAAGCTGGGGAGAGTATTTGTGTGTGTGTGTGTGTGCGCGCGTACAAGGTGTACAAGGTCACATAGTGGCATGCTTCATATGTAACGACTGCATTTGGACATCTCTTAACTGTAGTTAAGACTGAGTAGTGCTGACTGGGAAGACTGATGATTTGGGTGGAATTGGCATTGGAAAAGCAGGTTAACAGCTTGAGGGTGCTCGTGGATCCAGCCTTGCTGTCTGAAAAGGCTGGACTGTGGCAGTACAATGTATGTGGGGCTGCCTTTAAATACAAAAACTACAGTTGGGCTGCGGTCACACGGAACAGAAGCCACACAAGTGAGACGGAAAACAGGCGGAGTTTCCGGGCGCGATCTCACCAGCACATCTGGGAAGCGTAGCACTCCCGTGGCTCAACCGAGGCTTCCAGCCGAAACAGCATGGCAAAAAACTAGTACCTCGGAGGTACTAGTTTCCGGAAACTGCGGGGCAAGGGCGGGCGTCTGATCGCGTTTCCGGTGGCATCCGGCGCCCGCCCATGTCCCCTTGCAAATAAGGTGTGGTTTTTTTGTCCAAGTCTCTGTGGATGCGCACACGCACCCAACGGAGCATGCGCATTTGTCGTGTACACACACAAAAAAAACAGTTTGGCGCGGCACGCGCTTCTTCATTGCGCGCCGGCTTGTCCTGTGATCAGCACCTCTCCCTTGCCATGGAACCTCCACGGTTCCTCCACAGGACCTCCATGGGAGGTCTGATCGCGTAACTGCGCAGTAGTTTGCCCCAGGGCAAACAGCCACGCTTCTCCCCCGCAGTTTCCTGCCCGTGTGACCGGGGCCCAGGTTCAGAATGCAGCGGACCAACTTTTGACTAGAACTCAATTGTTAGCATATTGCTGTAGTCCTAGGCAATGTTCCCTCTAAGCTGTGGAGTCTTGTGAGCAAAAAATTCTACTTTGTGAGCTACTGGCATTAAAGTTGTGAGCGAGTGATTTGGCTGCTGCCTAAACTAGTTTGCTCTGGAGCCATCCTTCCTGAGTCTAAGGCAAAAATGTGTGAACCGGAGGCTAAAAAACTGTGAGCTAGCTCACACTCTCAGCTTAGAGGGAACACTGGTCCTAGGCAATGCTCCCTCTGAGCTGTGGAGTCTTGTGAGTGAAAATTCTACTTTGTAAGCTACTGGCATTAAAGTTGAGAGCAAGTGATTTGACTACTGCATGAATTAGTTTGTTCTGGAGCCATCCTTCCTGAGCTAAGACAAAAACTTGTGAGCTGGAAGATAAAAAAACTGTAAGCCACCTCACACTAACTCAGCTTAGAGGGAATACTGGTCCTAGGAGGTTTGTGTTGATTGCTTATCTGTTTCTGGGCTCAAGGTGTAAGATGCTTGTTTTATCCTTGCATGGCCTGGGCCCCACATATCTGATGCACTACATGCTTGCCTGTTGCATTCATTGTGCCAACTTCTCCTCTTTTTCAATGAGAGCTCTGGAACAGGCTACTGGTGGAGGTCCATGGGATGCCTTTTCTCCCAGCCAGCTATGTGAAATGGGTCTTCAGGAAAGTTTTAAATGTAAATGAATCAGTTGGCTGGCGTTTGTTCTAATTTAGACTGTTAACGTTTATACTATTGGTGTAGTGGTTAAGTGTGCGGACTCTAATCTGGGAGAACTGGGTTTGATTCCCCACTCCTCCACTTGCACCTGCTGATGTGACCTTGGGTCAGTCACAAGCTCTGGCACAGCTGTCCTTGAAAAAGAGCAGTTTGTGTCAGAGCTCTCTCAGCCCCACCTACCTCACAGGGTGTCTGTTGTGGGGAGGGGAAGGGAAAGGAGTTTGTAAGCCGCTCTGAAGCTCCAAGTGAAGGGCGGGGTATAAATCCAATCTCTTCTTCTTTTTCTTCTTTTCAGGTTTAAAATTATATTGAAGCCGTGTTGAATCCACAGTCAGTGGAGAAAAGCAGAGTAACAGTATTCAGATAAATAAAGTAAAAATTAAGTGTTTGGTCTCTCTTATACTGATGATCGGGGCCGCTCTGAAGCTCCAAGTGAAGGGCGGGGTATAATAGCATAACACGCCCCACCCCACAGCAGAAACTCATTAGCATATTAGGCCACACATCTGATGCAACATATTAGCATATTAGGCCACACCCATGCCTTCCCTTGGCTTGCCCGGGCAAGCCAGCCCTTGAACAGTCAGGGGGTGAGATTTAAATGCCTCCCCGATCCTTCCAGCCCCCCCAGCCCCCCCACCTCGGAGTCGCCGAGGGGGGTTTGCTCTCCAGGCCTTCCCTCTGTAGCCACACATGCAGAGGTTTTGGCTGTAGTGGGCGTGGCCAACTCTGAAGCCAGACGGAACTCCGTTCCTGTGCGTTCCTGCCCAAAAATAGCCCTGCTGATGATATAAGAAGCTTTTATGTTAATTTAAGTTTGCTGTAAAGAAAGGCGGTATAGAAATGTGTTAAAGTAATGCTAAGCAGATGTTTAGAACTAGATGGGCTGGTTGTCTTCCCCTTCAGAAGCCTTCTCATCTTTGTCTAGCTGCTGTCAGAGGAGGGGAGCTCTGGTATTCCTCCTATATATACATTCATCTTTTTCTTTGGACGTCTGCACTGTAGCTTTGCCAGGGCTTTCCCCTCTCTAGTTCCCTGCCTTTTATGCTCTGCCTTAGATCAGCTGCTGTATGTGTGTGGGGTGTGTGTGTGTCATATGATGGGGGAAGAAATGCTTCATTAAAAAATTTATAACCAAATAGTATTCAGGGCAATCTGATTAAATGGCAAATGTGTGAGTAGCTTGATTCCACTTCAGCTGTTCTTGGGGAGATCAGCTCAAGGATAAAATCTTACTCTCTTTCTCTCTCAATCCCCTGCACCAAGTAGATCAGTTGTTTATTATTTTTTTAAAAAGCTCATCATGTGCCATTGCAGGAGCATATGGTTCCAATAGAGCCATAAGCTCCAGGCATTTTCTTATTCCAGCTATTTTTCGTCATTGCCTGTTTTTTTGGCTCTTTCAATATTGGTTTGGCATGGCCATTGCAAACTCTGTTTGGGGTAGTTGGGGAGTTCTGAAATATTTTCCCTGGATGGAATTATTTTGAGGCTTTATTTCATTATGCTGTCACCTCTGTTTCTCTTTACCCAGTGAAACCTCAATAGGAAGATGCAGTCTGTATGTTGTTTTTCATGCCATGCATGAACTCCTCCTAAAATAAAAGCCTCATGGAAAAAGGTTTAGCCCCAGAAGCTGATTTCAGTGCCACGTCTTGGCTCTGGAACATCTGAAATGATGCCCTTGAGCACACGCAAAATGCCTTTCCCTTACCTCTCCATAACCAGTTGGCTGTCATACAGTTTAGTGTGAGGGTAAAGGCTTTCCAGGTAAAGGAGATGCCTTCTCTTCAAGAGAGCAGAATTCATTCAGGAATGTGTACTTAACTTTTCATCTTATGGCTGGTGAAAGTGAGACATAGGATTTGGCCACCAAGCTATCATAACACTTCAGTTACAGATCTAGTTTTCATGAGATGTATTGTGATGCAGTGAATGCTGAGACTGTGTAACACAGAGCTCCAGCATCTGTACAACTTCCTTTTGGGCACAGCCCCAGGTGCTGTTGAGCCCTGAATGGTTTGTGTGTTTCTGACCGTTATGATCCATTATGATCTGTGGAATCTACCAAGAGCATCCTCTTGCACCATAGTAACTGAGAGGGTTATTCTTGGTGATTGTTCATAAATATGGAACTCCTTATCTCTGGAGACTTTCCAAGAGTAGGGAGGGAAGGCAGGCAATTGCCCTGGTTCTTGGCTGGGTCTGGCTTCCTAGTGGCAATCCTAAATGGAATACCTTCAGATCTAGGCCAGTATAAAATGCATTTCTTCACTCTGGGCCTGTTGTCTACATATTTCTGCCATGGGAATAACTTTGCAATTTCTAATGTCTTTCTTTAGCAGCCCTTTCTGATCAATAATTTCTTGAGTAGTGAGAATTCTGCTGCTGCAAGACAGGAAAACTTTCTCTGTTTCTAATTTCTCTTCTGCTTTTCTTATTTCTCTGCTGCTCCTTTTCTTGGGCTCTGAAGTTTGGATGTCCGGCTTGTCTGATTCTCCAAAGAAGGCTATCGGAGGTACAACATTACGCTTGCATGTATTTGTGCTTGTGTTTCAGTACCCTGAGTGTATTTGGATTGGAGCTGTTTTGACTTTGGAAAAGTTACAGGGAAGACAAATGGCAAAAACAGGAAGGATTAAGAGGCCCTCATTCACATGTCCATAGGTTCTGAAAACCAGCCCCCCACTCACAAACTCCATGCTTCATATGCAGATGAGGCTTACCCGTGTCCAAATACAGGGTCTAGTTTGGCCTTCTGGATCTGGATTAGTCCCATGTGATAAAACTTGCAGTTATGATACTCATCACTTGCCCATGCAATATTTATTCTGTTACACCTTGATAGATACAAGTTTCCCCCCCACCCCATCAGTTCAACTTGGATAGAATAAACATTGGACATTGAGTCCATGTTGATTCTAAAATGGGCCAGGAATGTTCATCATGTTTTAATACATAATTTCTTTTCTGTCAAATATGATTCCCACAACACTACCCAGTCGATAAGTGATGCTAACGTGCATGCCTGGTAATAAATTAAAGTAGGTAAGCCAATTGCTCCCTTTCTTCAGAGTCCTAAATGGTACTGATGAAAGGATCGATAAATTCCACTCAGTGTCCATCCAAATTCTGTAACGGGAATGTCACATTAGGCATAAGTGTGTAAGGTTGTGAAAATGGTTAAATATGGATGCCATCGGAGTGCTGCGTGGGTTAGTGAGATACGGTGGTAGAACTAGCTTGTAAGTCTGAGAAGGGCTCACTAACCTTCTAATTTCTGTTTCATCATTGGGGGAATAGATGGGGGGCGGCTTCTAGTATAAACCTCATTTTGACCTTGATGCTGTATAATGCTGGGCTTGTGAAGAATATAATCTTGTTTTATAATCAGGTGGTGGAAGAGGGTATTGATCTTGCTTATGTGGCTGAAATTCAGCTGGATGATTCTGGTAGTTATTCTCTTTGATTTGATTCCAACTAGGAATGCAGTTCTCCATCAGACCCCATCTGGGAGATGGAGGGAGGAGTTACCGTCATCCTCTGGGAGTCTTTTTACTTCAGTAAACTGTTACAAGGCATTGATCGTGTATGGGACAAATTTGGTACCCTCTTGTTTTAAAATTAACCTAGTTTCCAATAGGTGCCCTGTCTGAGTGCTGGAAATAATCTCTTACCTGATGTTGGTAAGTGTAAGGTGATGATCATTGGGACAAAAAATCGCAGCTTCAAGTATAGGCTAATGGGATCTGAACTTGCTGAGACTGAGTGGGGAAAAGATCTCAGGGTCCTAGTGAATAGCTCAGTGAAAGTATCAACCCAGTGTGCTGCAGCAGTGAAAAAGGCAAACTCTGTGCTAGGGATTGTTAGGAAAAGGATTGAAAATAATATGGCTAATATTGTAATGCCCCTGTGTAGATCTATGATGCGGCCTCGTTTGGAATACTGTGTACAATTCTGGTCACTGTGTCTTTAAAAAGACATCGTAGAAGTAGAAAAGGTACAGAGGGTGACCAAGATGATTAGGGGGTTGAATCACCTTCCCTATGAGGAAAGGGTGAAGAGTCTGAAACTTTTCAGTTTAGAAAAGAGATGAGTAAGACGGGGACGGCAAAGGATGAGATGGTTCGACAGTGTCATCGATGCAACGAACATGAAATTGAGCAAACTTCAGAGGACGGCGGAAGACAGGAGGGCCTGGCGGGAGCTGGTCCATGGGGTCGCGAAGAGTCGGACTCGACTGTGCGACTGAACAACAACAACAAGGGGGGAGGTATATCATAAAATTATGCATGGAGTGGAGAGAGTTGATGAAAAGAGATTTTGCTCCCTCTCCCAAAAGACTAGAGCTCAAGGGGCTCCAATGAAGCTGATGGGCAGTAGATTCAGGATGGACAGAAGGAAATACTACTTTGCACAGACAGTGATTAAAATGTGGAATTTGCTGACAGAGTGATGGCCACAGGAATAAACAGCTTTAAATGGGAATTAGATAAATTTGTCGAGGCTAGGTCTATCAGTGGCTACTACCCATGGTGACTGAGGGGAACCACCATGTTTACAGGTACTAACCCTCTGAATCCCAGAGCCAGGAGACAACATCAGGGGAAGGTCTCGGCCTCTATGTCCTGTTGTTGGAACTGGTTGGCCACTGTGTGAGACAGGATGCTGGACTAGATGGACCACTGATCTGATCCAGCAGGGCTCTCCTTATGTTCTTTTGTTGTACACTCTCAGAATGATGATCCTGTGGGACTTCAGTATCCATGCAGAGGCCTCCTTGTCTGGTAAGAGTTTGTATCCCAGGTTGTGTTGGACCCATACATAAGAGATGACACGTGTCAGATTTGACTTTTTGCACTGAGCAGATTTACAGTGGTCTGAAGAGGGTCTGAAGATATGGCCACTGTCTCTTGAAGGCCTAGATCAGAGGTGTCAAACATGCAGCCCGGGGGCCGGATCAGCCCCCCGGAGGGCTTTTATCAGGCCCACAGTGGAACTGGCTGTCTTCTGCTTCTTCTTCCAGTTCTGCGGCTGCTGTGTCATTGTAGGTTTGCAGCTTACAGATACACACCTGAACAGCATACTCAAGATTGCAACAGCACAGGCATTTTGATGCAGTAATTCAGAGCAAGAGGTGTCAGTAATCAGACACTGTTAAATAAACAAAATATTGCAAGAGTGCTAATGTTTTAAGCATGTTTTTATTTTAAGTAAAAAAAAACCTTTGTGTTTGTGTCCTTTATAAAGTTTAGATCACTGCTACCTGGCATTACATTTTATAACACACATGGCTCGGCCCAACAAGGTCTCATTTATGTCAGTTCTGGCCCTCATAACAAATGAGTTCAACACCCCTGGCCTAGATGGATGAGGGTGGCTCCACTTTCAGCCATGCCTTCAACAGTGCCACCTTTCAGACTATTAAATCCCCAGGGCATCTTAGAATGTCAAAAGATCCATCCGCCCCAAATGATTGGGGGAGCCGACTATTCTAACTGGTCCATTACCCCTCAGGGAAAGTCATGCTCCAGCAAGTTATTGAATGAGTTGCTCCCCGGTATTCCCTCTCCTCCTTCAGGAGGAGCCCATTGTTTTCCCAAGAGCTGAGGGAACTGAAGAAGGTAGGGGCTCCATTGCCTAGTATGCTTGAGAACTGGGACTACCAAAGCATGATCAGTGCCTTATTGGCATATTAACTGTTCCTAGCCTTGAAGACTGAGCTTGTGGCTCATCAAACTGTTCTGCTTTCTCAAATCTTTACCCTGCTATCCATCCATTGATTAAAAACACTAGCTATTTAAATGACATGTCCTGCTTCAGCTTTCATTTCTCTGCCTGGAATCTAATTTTTCTTCTCTTGGTAATATTGTGAAAATAAATAAATTATTATTTGTTTCCCCTTACTTTCTTAGAAGTGATCATTCCAGTGTTGTTTATATTCCAAGCATGTTCTTTTTCAACGTTTACATCATTCAGCAACACTATGATCTAATTTGATTGCATTGTTGCTCAACAGCTAGTCAGGCTTTATACCTACAGCTGTTGTAAACCAAGATACATTTCAAATGAATTTTGTAAAATATTTTGCATTGAGCCCTTCAGCTTGGATTATCCACTCTCCCGCTCTCTCTTTCTCTGTTTTATATTCTTTTGATTACTTCCTCAGACCTGAGCAATTCTTGTCACATACATCTGTTTGTATATTGATTTTATGAAATTTTGCTGTAAGCTGCTTCAAGTCTGAGAAGCTAATAAATGACATCTTTGCATCTAATGTCTTATTATCCCTTTCCTCAAACATCTTTTCAAAACTCTTTAGTCTCCTGTTTTCCCCCCTCAATCAGCTACTGCTTTCTTCTGAATGCTGGGAGGCTTCTTTGTGAGCCTGCATTTCTGAATAGCAGCATCCTCACTTTCAGTTAAAGGTAGGGTTGCCCACTCCAGGTTAGGAAATTCCTGCATATTTGGGGGTAGAACCTGGGGAGGGTGGATTTGGGGAGGGACCTCAGTGGGTTGGGGTGCCATATTCCCACTGACGGCAGGAGACCCCCCCTCCCCGGTGTCACTACCTCCTGCTGCTCAGCTGGGCAGCAGAAGGAAAATGGCTGGTGAAACGGAGGTGACATGATGCAACTTCTGGCGTGACCTGGAACTGACATCATCACAACAGGCTATGCTCTAGTATTTTCAAATTCTATGGTCATGCCAGAAGATGCATCATCATGGCAGGGATGCCAGTTGTGCTCCCACCTAATTGTCAGTTCCTGAATCTCCCATCTCCCAGCAAGGTATAATACCATAGAGTTCACCTCCTGAAGCTTTCATTTTCTCCAGGGGAACTGATCTCTGTAGTCTAAAGATAAACTGTAATTCTAAGAGGTCTCCAGCCCCCACCTAGAGGTTGGCAAGCCTAGGTCAAAGATTTCTAAAGTTACTACTGAGTGAGGGTGTTTCGTCTTAAATGTGACAAAGTTTGAATGCAGTGGTACCTTTAAGACCAATGCACAATTACTGAAGCTGAAGCTCAAATACTTTGGCCACCAAATGAGAAGGGAGCACTCACTGGAGAAGACCCTGATGCTGAGAAAGATTGAAGGTAACAGAAGAAGGGGACAGCAAAGGATTGGATTGTTAGACAGTGTTATCGATGCAACAAGCATGAAATTGAGCAAACTGCGGAGGACGGCGGAAGACAGGAGGGCCTGGCGTGATGTGGTCCATGGGGTTGTGAAGAGTCAGAGTCGATTGTGTGACTGAACAACAACAGCAACTTCTTCAGATACATTGAAGCAGACTTCCTCAAGCCTTAAACATAGGTGGATAGAGTGCTTGAGGAAGTCTGTTTCAATGTATCTGAAGAAATGTGCATGCACACAAAAGCTTATACCCAGAATTAAACTTAATTGATCTTAAAAGTGCCACTGGACTCAAACTTTGTTCTATTTCTTCAGACCAACAGGGCTACCCACCTGAATATATGTGTTTTTTGTACTTTTCTAAAATGTCATTTTACAA